CGCCTCAGAAAACTTCCAAACTTCCCCGATTTCCAGTCACTAAAAACCACAAAATCCCCGCGATTTCAATTCAGTACATTCTAGTCCCGCTATACAAACGCACTCAAATCGAATCCATTTTTCCCCCCAAAAAATTATACAAAATCCACCATCCGCTGATACAGGGTGTGCGTGAATATTTTCCCCGAATAACCGGCCACAGGACGAGCGTCTATCGCCGACCACTCAGGACTTTACTCGCTTTCGTTGACAAAAGTGTCGCAAGGACTTGCTACAAACTAGTCGCAGTCGGTGCGGGAAACATCCTCACAATAAACTCGCGCTCTCGTTACTGGATCGCATCGGATTGGCTTGGCGCCGTCCGGCGCTGTTGCCGCCTCCTCGCGGCGCCGATACTTCTCGCACGCCACCCGTACTCGCGCGCCGGGATATTTACTGCGCGAATCGGCCAAATCGAGCAGAAGTTTAGATAGCGGGGATCTAAAGGTAGCCGTGGAAATGTAATGCTGGTAAGTACAATGTGCAGTATTTTGCTTGGAATTGCGCGAGTAAATAGTAAACAGAGCGCAGGATATGTGGATATGGAATATAATGGGGAAATGAGGAACAGGAATTTTCGATGAAAAGTCAATTGTGGTTATAGGTGATGGGAAATTTGGGTTTGGGATATATGGGATATATGGGAGGTTTCTGATAAATAAGTAGTTCTTTAATTCTAATGTAATTTACTCTGTGCACTACTACTGCTCTGCTCTGCTCTGCTCTGCTCTGCTCTGCTCTGCTCTGCTCTGCTCTGCTCTGCTCTGCTCTTCATCTATTTTATTCTGAATCTATTCTGCACTGAATCTACTCTGCTTTGAATCTACACTGCTCTGAAACTACTCTGAATCTGCTCTGCTCTTCATCTATTCTGTACTGGTATCTACTCTGCTCTGAAACTACTCTGAATCTGCTCTGCTCTTCATCTATTCTGTACTGTATCTACTCTGCTTTAAATCTACACTGCTCTGAAACTACTCTAAATCTACTCTGCTCTTCATCTATTCTGTACTGTATCTACTCTGCTCTGAAACTACTCTGAACCTACTCTGCTCTTCATCTATTCTATTCTGAATCTATTATGCACTAAATCTACTCTGCTCTGAAACTACTCTAAATCAATTCTAGTCTGAATCTATTCTGTACTGAATCTACTCTGCTCTGAACCTACACTGCTCCGAATCTACTCAGCTTTTCATCTATTCTATTCTGAATCTATTCTGCACTGAATCTACATTGCTCTTGAACTACTCTGATTCTACTCTGCTCATCTATTCTATTCTGCACTGAATCTACACTGCTCTTGAACTACTCTGGATTTTATTCTGCTCTTCATCTATTCTGCACTGAATCTACTCTGCTCTGAATCTCCCCTCCTCTACGTGGGTGATTAATCAGCGCTCGATGGCACAATTCTAGTTTCCCCAAAACAAATATTAGGAGTACGGAGTATATCGAGGCGTCGCGGCAACGCCGCCGCGACGTCGAACGGCGACGCCGATCGGCGTTTCTCGCTTCGTTTCGTCCGCTTTCACCGTCATCGGACGTCTCTATATCGGAGTTAAAACGAAATTGTAACGGAGATTTACAGGTCGATTCTGCGACGGTCTTCGCTCGGACAATTTTATTTGCAGGGATGATTTTATACGGAAAAAGGCGATTTTATGTGCCGTCGCTTCCGATAACGCCTGTACCGTTACACCTCGACGAAGGGATTAAAAAAGCCCCATTGATTAAAAATTATGATGGATGGCAATATCGGTGTAATCATTATACGACATAAAGGAAAACCGCGCAGATGGTGGAATTAACTGATTGATTAGAAATGATAGAATTCAATTAACTTGCGTGTTTATTTTATCACTGTATTGTTAACGATATACAGGTGAGGTGCGATTTGTTTAATTAGCTTCCGTAATCGAATTAAAATGGTAATTTTTAATATATAGAAATGGTTAATAATGGTGTATAAATTTCTGAAAAAATAAAAAATAATAAAATAAATATTTGATATTTAAAGTCGGCGCCAGAGTCCAGCCACTTACAGGCTGGCAATGTTGCCAAATGAATAAGGATTTATTCATATACAGGTTGCTCCATTTTTGATCGCTACATAGGTTATATAGGCCATAGGTTCGATAAAGACAACTTCCATTAGACACTTACAAAGGAAAAAGAAAGAGTGACATTTGTGTCATTGCAATTTTTTACTCTGACAACTGTTATTTAATTAATAATCTTTCTTTGTTCCACTCATAGAAATGACCATGTCGCAATCGGAAATGGAGCAAACGATATTTACCTGCAAAGGAAAAATTCATTCGTCGACAGTTATTCGTGTGCGTATGTTGGAGTGTTATACAGTGGAAAGAAAAATATGCTTAGAAATTTGACAACAAAATTTAAAACAGAAATACTATTGGCTACCATCTCTACCATTCCAACTTTAATAATCTTTTTTTCGAAGGGTTGGGAGTGGAATTTTACGCTGAAATTTTGTAATCTTCAATAAAATGAGCTAAATTTTCATAAGACAAAATAAAAAAATCCTTACGGAAGCTAATTAAATGTAACACGAATCAATTCGTGAGTGTTGCAGAGTTGCACACACAATTTTTGGAAGATGTATAGAGGACCTTTCGGAGCGACGGGACGAAAAATCCCTGCGAAAATAGAACGCGGACGGTGTTTTTTTTATTCGCGAATAAGAAAATATTGATTTGCTTTGACAAATGTGGGCCCGTTTTTCGATACGCACATACGCCCGGAATATAATTGATTCGCTGCACTTCAAGCAAATTCGATTAATTTTAGGCGCTGGAATAATATTTGCCTTTCTATATGGGTTATTTGGATCGCGTCGTTTTATTGGAAGTATCGATATTTTTACGCTAAAACGGCGATATTTTCGGACCTATCACGCGGGATTTAAATGATGGGAAGTTTTCCACGTCCTAAAATACCCGATCATTAACTAAACCCGAATAGACAAACAACATAAACGTAGTTCATTAATGCGTATATTAAAACAAAAAAATCATCCTTATAAATTAAACTTAGGTAAGTACAGAGCGATAGGAATAGCTAGACACGCGCTGGACATCTCCAGCTATCCCTATCGAAGTGTAGGTATCAAAACCTTAATATAAGATTTTAAAAATTAATATTGTATGCTCCGTTTCGTTTGAATATCGTCCAAAATCGATTGGAGTTCCTCGTCCTCCAGACGGCCCTCCAGCGACGGTATCAGAGACTTCGCCTCCTCGGTGGTTTCCGGGCACAAATTCGCTATGGCGGCCAATTCGAACTTGTGCAATTTTTTCGTCTGCATCAATAAACTTAAAGACAATAAATTAGTCTTTAGTTAGTCTCGAACACCGTCGTATATTTCTAAGGTCTGGAAACAGCCTATGCTTGTGCATTAGAGATTGTGTCCATTTATTTGAGGACTTTTTGAGCTTCACTTTTGCGCCGCACCGTGGCGAACGATCGAAGGACCAACTTGTCTCAGCCAATCAGCGTCACGCTACATATAAATCGCGGTTGTGAGACGACAGTTCAAGCTGTCAAAACTTCAAAAATTATTTTTTGACATTTCGAGGAGAAAATGGAGAAATACATTAACCCAAGATACGTAAGGCATGATGTTACCTACAAAATCATCGGTGATTTAAGTATATTTTTATATTTTGTATCTATTTTTAGTTTGAATAAAACCTTTTTTAATGCTAATTCTATATAATTCGTACACAAAACACCGTGGTCCTTTACGACATCGCCTCCTAACGGCCGTTTTAGGAACCCTGTTTTATCCTCAAATAACGGGACATTTTTTCGACCTATGTTTCCAGACTTTAGAAATATAGGGCCGTGGTCTCGAACAACAGGTAGCAGGCATTTATTTTTTTTTGCTCTCTAAGTAGCAACTCGAAATGAGATTATGGAAGCATTCGAATGTTATTAGGGGAACTTCCAAAGTAACTTCTAAGAGTTCACGAGGGAAGGTTCTGAGGGAAAGGGAGGGCGATCCCGTGTAAGTAAGTGGCTTCTCGGATTTCTTATTTGAGGTAGAAGGTTTTGATGTGAGAAAAATATGAGAATGTACAACGAGGCGTTTTTTATTTAGAGAGCTAATGAAGAGGAATTTTAGTGTAGCATCTCTAAAATATTTCTACCTTTAAGAGCTCTAATAACTTACTTTCTCACAGCCGATATGGTTTCTTTGTTCTTGAATTTCCTAAATCTATCCGTGTAGGTTAGAGTTTTCATGAACACATCCGAAAATTCCTGCTCGTCCTCCAGAGATTCGTTTTGCTCTTTCCTGTGCTCCAACAACATGTGCACCTCGGATATAAGTAGAGTTTCCGCATTTTCGAATTCTAAAAATTTCAAAATATTTTGCACGCAACATTTACACAGTGAAATAATGACCTCTCAACAATCAACACGATGATTTAATGAATTAATACTGCTAATGAATTTGTACGCATTTATTAGCTTTAATATTTATACAATTAACAAAACATAATAAATTGGCTATCGAGTCGATTTCGCAGTTAAAACAATTCGTTTAACGGACCCTTTTAAATCCAAAAATATTTGCGAAATCGATTCCGTTAAATATACAACATAAATTATACGATGGAATAAAATTTCATTGCGCCCGTTAGCGAACAAACGCTTTAAATTGCTACACTTAATTTACCGGGAATTGCACCGTTTAGCCGATTGCAAAAATAATTGAAAACCATAAACTAATAGAATTGGAAAAATACCAATTAAATTCCCGGCATAAAAATGATAATACCAACTGCCATAATCAACTAAAATTGCGAGTGTACCTATAATGTTTTTAACATTGTTTTTAATTGAAAACAGGACTGCTAGAGAATAAATAAATAGCCTGATTTGAAGCTCAATTATAAAAGACTCTACTAATCACATAAAATTCCCGATAGGCATCAAGTGGCAGGTTTATTAATATACCCCTCTTCTAACATAAAATCGTACAACTTCCTCGTTTTGTTAACGTCGATTTTCAACAATTTCCTGGCAGTTTGCAACGTCACCGATCCGCTCCTTTTATATTCAGCTATTAAGGTATCTCTCAATTGGAAATAACTGACCGGTACCAATCGAGCGGTGCTGCACAAATCAATTTCTTTCTGCGACAGCTTCGTGTAACCCGGCATTCCGGTCACTTCGATCGGCATGAAAGTCCTTCGTTTGTTGAGTTTGCTGATCATGTTCAAGTTGGGTTCTTTGACGTTCTTCCAGTTGAACGAAGAGTTCGATCGGAAGGCTTTGAGGGATTTCCTGTTGGTTTCGTGGAGGTGGTTTAGCTTGAGGTAGAGCCGGCCCCCTGCTAAGGTCGTGATGCCTAGTTTTCTCAAGTTTATCAACCTTAAAACATAAAAAAATATTAGTATTTATGTTCTAATCGAATGTCAAATTGTTGACATAACTGTTCGATATTTCAAAAAGATGTTACAAAAACCTTCGCATAAAATAAAGGAAACCAAAACCTTATTTAGAAGAAAATTACCGATAGCAATATTAATTACATCAACGTTGATTTTCCACGTTATTTTACCAGTATGGAGCGATTTGTTTATAAAACCAACGGAAGAACAAAAACATGAATACAGAAATATGATAAAAAATGAAAAATAATAAATTTACACACCTCGATATTTGCAATTTCAGTTCGCCGGCCCTATGCAAACCTTCCATGAGCATATCGAACTTGAACGGATCGCTGACTTGCATGAATCGAAGCATTCTCTCGTAAACGTTCTTGTGTATGGTGCAATCGTATCGCTTCAACCACGAGTAGGTCTTCCTCAGCAACAGCAAACCGTGATCTCTGATTAAATCCTTCCATTTTTGCCTCCTCGACAACCTGCGGTTGTAACTTTGCACTAACGAGCATTGCAGTTTGGACAAGAGCTCATGCTGGGGATCGTTATGATCGATTAGTTCAACGTTAGATAAAATGTCTTCGGCGCCTTTGTCGAATTCGTTTTCGAAATCCGATCGGGCCGGATTGTAACCGGCTAGAGATTGAAAACCTATGGTGTTCGATAGGTATCGAGGGGGCTCATCGGTATCCTCTAAATTGAATCTAAAAGGTACGACTGATTCTCTGTATTCGGCGTTTCGATCTTTGGGTTTCGGAAACTTATCACAGCCTTTTCTGTCTAGGTAAAAGTAATCGTAGTGTTCGATTATATCGTTTAAATTCCTGTTGGGTAGTTCTTCGGCGACGCCGGCCCAGTTGCCGTAGTTGCTGATGGCGTCGAGCAGCTTCAGCTCCTCCTCGGCGGTCCAATCGGACCGTTCGAATAGCACGAAATTCGTGGAGAAAATCCGGTAATCGTGGTCGTTCTTGTGATTGGAGAACTCCGCTCCGTTCGCGAAACAACTCAAACATATAGGCACTTTGCACTGTTCACACGATATGTACTTACTTCGTACTTCACAAAAACAATTTGCGCAATAAGTCGAATCGTTGGTTTCGAAAATATTAGCGCTAGAAGACGCTGAGAGGTCATCGTCTGAAATTTCAATACATCCTACTATCGGCTACGCTACGGTTTTCGATCGAGAGGGCTTACCTTTGGGGAACTGCAAGTCGGCGGCGTCTTCTTCGATTAGATCGGTGTTCGTGTTCGCCATTTTCTGTTAATTCGAATTAATAAATGCCTAATGAAGTCGTTAAAATGTTGTTTTTCGGGTTAATTTTTAGGTTAGTTACAAGAAGATGCTTTAGTTTGACGTTTAGTGACAATTATGACAGATACGCCATTAAAAAGTTATTCAAATGCGGCCTTTTTCTCTACATGACAACAATCAAATCAACATAAGGCAACCACTTTAACAATATTGCAATAGTGGTTGCATAAACAACATAGAAAAATACAAAAATTAAAAATTTCGAAATAATCACACCGAAATATAAAAAATAAGAAACTTATTCGATATTTACTAGTGTTTTAACAAAAATTTATTACTTATTAAAAAAAGTTTCGTAACTATTACAATATCTTACACAAATAAAAATATATTTTTGTTAACAAAAAATACACCAAATTTCCACCCAAATCCTCTCCAAAAATTACAAGCACTTTTGAATTCATATACTCAACATTTTCACCTCAAGTTTGCATGCACGTCCACCACTTTCGGCGAGTCTCGCAAGATCTGCGAATCGCGATTATATCAGTATGTATACCAGGTTGTTCTGTTGCAATAAGAGCAATTGCATAAACGTTGTCTCTTAGGAAGTAATTTTAAATTGACAAGACGTATGTGGGAAAACGAGCCGGCTTTCCTTGTCTTCTTGACGTTTATTCCGAACCGGTGCGTAACCGATAAAATAGATGCAAATTATTATAAGATGTAGATTCTCGATTGCGAAACGAACGAGTACAGTGCAAAAAGAATAGTTGGAGACGCCTAGTGTCATGTCACGTTTACAGCTATCTGTATTGATCTGTACACGATGCGTTGTTGTTAATACTTGAGGTGATTAAATTTGAGGAATAATACAATAGAAAGATTGTGAATGTAAGCGATAATATCTGCAGTAAGAATGAATAATGAAATCGGGGTATTCCCCGAATGAAAAGATGAAGAAACCGAATGAATTCCTTGCGCAAATCCGCCTTATTCGAATGCGTATTTCTCACGATTGGAATGACCAAAGAGGGCAAAAACACATCGGAGCTGAAATAATAAGGAAGTCCAAGATCTAGATCGTTAGGCGAACGCAGAGCGATCTAGTTTCGGATTTTATTGGTGTATCGGTTTTTGAGGGTAATTGCTCTGAATCCCGAATGAGAAGAACTTTCCCTTTTTTTTCCTTTATGGAATAAAATTCGCGACGTAATGTTGCTGCAATGTTACAGAGCAATTCTTAAATCCTTTTTGAAACCAATTTTCCGGAGGAGATTCAAGAGATGAGTTCTATTATTATAAACTCATGCTCTTAAGTATAAAATAATTTCATACTACTTTTACAAGGTGTTTTGTTACCATATTTGCATGAAACGTGAGTGGAATAAGAACTAAATCCAGGATAAAACTCGGGAAACTTCCCAATTGCATTTGATCTTTTGCTGGCTTGAACAAAACTTTATCGAAAGGAAAAGTTTTGTCCTTACTTGTCGAAATAAAACAGTTTTTTGTTCTAATAAGAACATCCTTGTATAAGCGAAGAAACGCACTTTTTTGCTCAATCTAGTTAGAGATTTCATTCAAGCTATAAATTTTAATTAATCGAACGAATAGGTCATTACATCATAATGGCCACACCGTAAAAAAATTGAATTAATCGACACCTAATTAAATCAGTTATTTCGCCAAATTCCTCTCTTATTTTTCATCGCATAATACGTATATTTTTAGTTTAATTGCACATTACATATATTTTTTTCTAAATCCAAACCCGCCGAGATTGGCAACAGTTACATGCACAGGCTCGGGGATAGGCCGGGTGGGACAGAATCGCAGGGTTTGTATAAAAAGCGATTTTGATTTCACCCGTTGCCAGTATCAGTTTTAGAGTCACTTGCAGTCCGGTGAAAATGCAGGTACACACATTTGTTATTTAACCAGCGAATCTAGTGATTTTCATTGTGATATACTCGTGAACGGTGAAAGTTTTTTTTTATCGGATTGCGGAGATGAAAAAAGCGAGATTTGTCGATTTGTTTATAGAATTTTAAATTTATTTGGATAGGTGTTTAGTTTAATTTTTTTTGATTTTGGAAATATTTTTTTAATTTATGATGTAGGTAATTGCATTTTTTGCTATATTTGGTAAGCGCGGAAATAATTTGCAAAATTTTTTTATTTTTTTTTAATTTTGTTTATCGCTACACTCCAAAAATGATTCTTACTATACATCATTTCTCCCTACTTGTACAGATTCTCCCTAACTTTCATTTCTGTGCATTGTTACAAATTTTAATAACAAAATTACTCCAATCAATTTTCAAAAGATCCAAAACGGTCCGTAAGAGTAGCATAACATAATCTTAATTACCGATCGTTCCGAGAGAATCCAATGTATCAATCACAAATTCACGCTCGGCGATTTTCCAACGGCAAAACGTACAATTTATCTTCCTCACCGTTTCATTGATTTCAGGTATTACTTATTACGTTATTTATAAGTGTAGTAACTAGTTATCCCGTCGAATACGGGGGGCACCACGGTCTCACTTTGTTACATCACGCTCCGATTGTGCATCCCATTGCAGTCAAAGCCGAACCAGTCGTAAGTATTTTTAAAAAATTTTTTATCAATACAGGGTGTTAATTAATTGAGTGCCGATACTTCAGGGTGTGAATATTTGGCTGATTTTAAGAAGAAAAGTTCATATCATTATATGTCCTAAATCTCTTAGTTTTCGAGTTACAGGGTGTTACAGTTTAAAAAAAACTTTTTTATCATAACTTTCTTATAACTCCAGATATTTTTATGAAATTTTGGACGTGGATGTCACCGGTAATAGTAGAAAATTAATTTTTGTGCAAAAAAAGTGTTTCTATGCATGGTGAGCACCTCTTTTGCCTCAAAAAATGCTCCTTAATAACTAAAAAGTGTATACAAAATTTCATAAAAATGTGGAGTAATAAGAAAATTATAGAAAAGTTATTTTTTTCTAAAATTGTAACATCCTATAGCTCGAAAACTAAAAGGTTTAGGACATATATTGATATAAATTTTTCTTCTTAAAATCACCCAAATATTCACTTCCTGAAGTATCGGCACTCAATTAATTAACCCCCCGTAAAATTCAAAAATTTTGTACTATTAAAAAATTTGTAATCCTTTAAAAATGTGTGCTCTCAAGACAGTTTGTAAACTATCAAACATAAAAATGTAGATATTTAAAAAAAGGTGTACTCATATAAAAACTACTATATTGTGCTCTTATAAACATTTGTGCTCTCAATCAGAAAATATATTTGTTCAATTTGTAAATTGACCAGTTTCGTTTTGCATAAGAAATTTTCCTCAACAATTTTCTCTCTTTCTTTCTCTCTGTATATTGAGCCTCAATGAATGGATTTAGAGTTTAGATGCGTTAGAATACTCCACGGTTAAATAGAAATTTATCTGAATCATCATCGAGCCATGTAATTTTACTATTATTTACCTTTAGCGATCGATCACCAGTCGATAAAAATGGCGCAACGCGCATATTTTCACCATAAAAATCTCTAATTAACTTTCCACCGGACCTTATTTGCCGATAAAAATAAAAACTAGTTCCTTCTTCAAATTTACGGCATTCCTCCGACCCTCTTTTGGCTCATAAAAAACGTTAGAAAGCTCCGCGAAGAGTACCCATCGCATTCTTCGATGTAATTATGCCATTAAAAATTTTGAATATATATTTCCCGTTTCTGCTCTCAATCGTTGGAATTTCAGGCGTACCCGAAGTACAAATTCGAATACGGGGTGAAGGACAGCCATACGGGGGACATCAAGGAGCAGACCGAGGAAAGGGACGGGCACGTGGTGAAAGGGGAGTACTCCTTGGTGGAGCCGGATGGTACCGTCAGGAAGGTGCAGTACGAAGACGATGGGCACAGCGGGTTCAATGCGATCGTTACCAGATCGGGACATGCTGTACATCCGCCTACGCCGGTGAAAATCGCCTTGCCCATTCACCATTATCACTGATATGCGTCCAGTAATGGAGTGTGTACATAAATGTTATTGGAGTTTTGTTATTGCAGAGGTAGATTTTAAGAAAGAATGGTTTGTTTTTGTATACGATAGTAATAGGTTTGTAGGTGTAGTAAATACAAAATGTTTCAAATTAATCATAGGTTTATGATACATTTTCGGGATTAAATTGGTTTAAAGAAATTGCTGTATTAAACAAAATTTTTAAGGATCAACCTGTGATTTGTACGATTATTTTTTTTTGTATTGCTTAATTCGAATTTGTGTAAAAATATTAAACGAAAAATGTATGCATTTTTAAGTGTAAGATTAGCTACTTAAGTTGTATTCATCTATTTGTTGATGTAATAAAAGTTCTATGCCACTATTTTTATAAAATAAAAATATTGTTTCAGTGTTTTATTTTTGTTTAGTAAATTATTTCTACTAATACATATTTTATGCTATCAAATTTAAATGATCAAATCAATTTTAATATTGCAAATGTAATAAATAAGCGTTATTATTTAAATAAATGGCGGGGACTATATCGGTATACTGTTAGTTAGAGAACCAACAAAACATTCTAAAATTATTGTTGTGTTGATAAATTACTAATAAGTAACTATAAACAGAAGAATAATACATTTTTTGCTTTGTTACTTTAAATTTTCACTCATAATACACAATATACTAAATTAAAATAATTTATTGTCCATATATTTATAAACAAAATTCACAAAATTTATTTTAACAATAATTCAACGTATTTTTTTCTTTTGTCTCGTTTTCCTGGGTTTTTCTATCGAGGTTTCAACACTTGCACTAACTTCTCCTACTTTACCATGTTTGCTTTCTTCGCAATTTTCTTTATCGTCCACATTCTTCACTTTGTTCTGCTTTTTATCGTGTTCGTCTAATTTCCCTTCAATGTTATCCAGTCTTTTCTTCAATAGGCTCATTTCTTTCTGAATGTTTGTATTCTCCTCCATTATAACTTTATTTTGTTGTTGTAAACTTTGGGTAATTTCCCTCAGCTCTGTCACCATTTCCCTGTACACACGATTATCATTTCGTATCACTTTCGTGTCGTTCTTTACTTCTTTTAAACATTCTATTATATTATCATCTTCCATAACTTTTATTCTGCAAATTTGGTTTTAGAAAAATAACTATTTCCACAAACTCCTCGTTTGCGGGTCAACTAACATTGCTAATATTAAAATAATATCTTTACCTTTTTATAGACAACAAGGTACAAGTACAGGGGCGTGCGATAAGATTTGAAACTGTAAAAATTGAGTGAAATAAGCAGATCACTTGTCTAGTCGTCGGAGCGACTTTGCGAATAATTCGATAATTTATATTCCGGTCGTAAAATAAAAGATGACCGAGCGTAGGAAGTGAAAACCGATAAAATTCGAAATCGCCAGTAAATTTTCAATCGAATAACGGCTAGTTAAGGAATTGATAAAGTAGACGATAATGTCATTATCGTTGTAAATTACCTTTCGCAGGTATTTCGAGTTTTGTCGAAAAATTCCACATCCTCGAATAATATACAAGGCGATTTAAGTATTGCTTATTTCAACAATAGTTCCCGCACTTGTGGGTTTAAATACTTCTGCATTCCAGCACGTAATTTTTATGTAACCTCACCTAGTTTCCGACTGTTTTAACTAGTTTTTTATTAATTATTATTACCTAATTGTTAATAATCGAATAAACAACGCGCCGATGGGCGCCAAATAGAAATGAACACCCCGGTAATTTACGCCTTAATTTAGTATAAATTTATAAGCTTTCGTTTTTTATGTGCGCTCTTTCGAGCGGTTATAAGTACAAAAATTTAATGCAAATCGCATTGCGATGGAAACTACAATATTATCTGTATCGCTGAATTATTTATTTATTGGAAATTCAACCAAAATGAAACTAGAAATTTTTATTTATTTGCAATGTTTTAATATCACAGAATTTAAAAATGTAGGGTGATTTATTGAGTGGTACAATTAATGAGTTTATAAAGAACATGTGCGGAGTATACATAGTAATAAAGTTCCCAATAAAAAATAACCTTAGTGACTATCCAGTATCGAGTCTTTTAAAGTTATTATCCTAAAAAAAGATGTCCATGCAAGCGAGCATGGAGGGGAAAATATAAAACTAGAATCAAAAGGCCTGTGTTGATAAAATTCGCGAATGTCGCAATCTCTCAGATACCTTGCGGTTTCTGCTATAAAGTGTTGACATTAGTTCTTACGAGATTTATATTTATACAGAAATGAAGATGAAATTAATTGTGAGTATACTGAATAATATATTCTCTTTTTTTTTGTTTAACCGAAATTTCGGGGTATACATAATTTATTCAAAAACGTCTGAAAATAATTTATTGTCGTGTCACTAGATTTCTCCATTATTAGTACATTAAACTCGAAAATTACTGTTAACTAAAGTAAGGATATGTTAAAGGCACCTAAAATTCAACATTACCAACCAATTTCGATTGTAGATAATGGCGGGAAAGTTTCCATTAAACGAATCAATTTAAACCTATAAAAGCACCATTAATACTTAAAACACACTACTCCATTGGAATTAATTCGATTATCACAATAACAGAATAAAATTATCTGATTGCAAAACCTCGTTTCAGTTCGTCACTCTACTCCTTTTGCTCGTCTTCTTCCACCCCCCAGTTCATTCATCTCCACTAAAGAAAGCTAGAAACAGCATAGCTTTGGACCAATACAGCTATAATTCATTTCAACCCCAAGGCATCGGCAGCTACTCCTTCGGGTACGAAGTAGAAGATCCGGAATACCGCAATATTCAGTACCGAAACGAAGAAAGATCAGCCGATGGTACTGTAACTGGAAGTTACGGTTGGGTGAAACCCGATGGGAACGTTATTATGGTGAAATATGTAGCTGATGGGGATGGATACAGGTACGGTAATATTGTTGATTCATAATTATACTCTGTTCGCCATCAGGAGATTCTTGAGGATTCTTGAATGTCCTGATAGCGAATGGTGTATAGAGGTTGATTGGTGTGATTTGATTATAGGGCCAGTGTTGCCAATTCTGAGGGTCAATTGAAGTTCTTCGGAAAACCGATTCCTGAGAATTTTCTCGAAGCAAACGAGTATTTTCCGATACGCAACGCTGTGGAGAATCTGCCTTTATTGGGTCATCAAAGCGTTCTAGAGCAGCATTACAGGCCGATTGATTTTTTCTACCCAAATGGGCCTGTTAATAGTTTAGAAGAGATTAAAGAATAAATAAATAAATAGCTTGTTTCATTACTATAAAAAATGGCGTGATTTATACAATTCGTTTCTCTCGACAGTTCGAATTAAATAAATAACATTTAACGACCGACTGCATGCAGAAAATCGTCTAATTTCTATTCGCAGAACGCCCGAGTGTGTTGAAATTCAAGCGAAGTTCAATACCACGTCTTCGGTCGGGTTTTGCGCCGCTCGTACTCACAATTTCGACGACGTGATAGAAATAAAAGGAAATGTTGAAGGAAATTTCGTCGAAGGAAATCGCCGGTTTCGTAATTTTTCGTAATATCGCGTAATCGAATTGGAATAAACGCAAATTAAAATTGTAAAAAATGTAATATAATAGAAAATTGTATACGATTAATCGGGACTGTGAACGACAACGTCCAAAGCTAAGGGTTTCCTGCCGTTCTCCGTCATACCGTTCACGTGGTAATGGCTCAAAATCAGGCACTTGCCGTTCTTGCACAGCTCCAACGGGCTGCCGCCCAACGTCGACATCGGCCCGAAGTATTTCTGGCGAATTTTATTCGACAAAGTCGACGCCGCCACCGTGTAGCTCAGATTCGTGTAAACGTTCGACGCCAGCCATATGATGATTTTGTCTTCGGGCCTGAAACACCGCTTGAGAAAATGCGGATTTCAATACACTGTGCACTCTCCATCTCACCCTGTATACGAGCTTGTAAAGTAGTTGTTAATAGTTAAGAAACTAACCTTAATAAAGAGCTGTTTTCGACGTATGTATGACTCGAATTCACTTCGTCTTCATCGCCATCATCATCATAATCTTCTCTTTGTATGTCGATATTCGATTTATTGTAAATCGATTCATCGCTGTATTGATTCAAATGGCAATTGGCTATTCTCGTCGCCAATAACACCATCACAGGTTTAGAATCCACCGTTTGAGTGCTAGCAAAACCAAAAATACATTTTTTAAAGATACTTTCCTTTCTACAATTTCGACTCTATAATCAGTACATATTTTTTTATTATTAACGATAGGTATTTTACATACAATTCTCTTCCTCCTGTTACGTACATCGGCTATCTGCGAACCGACATTTTCCTCATTTTCTGCCGTCACAATGCCGATATTTATGCAAATGTCGCGCAGAAATTACACGCATCGGAACACGGAGTGTAGCGGACTTTTACTCACCTGCTTCTGGGAAAGATGTTGGAAAAATCGTGGTTGATAACGTTCAATAGAACAATGCATTGCGTCACGTTGTATCTGACGTCCCTGGGAGAGAATTCCAGGGCGCTGCGGGCGTCCAATTGCGCGAATACCACCGGCACTTCCTTGTGCTCGTATTTGAAATGCGATTCGAGGGTGAACAGCGAGATGAATTTGTTGCAATCGGCCTTCGGGCACTGAAGGGGCCTAAAGGAATTAAAAAAAAAATTTAAATGCACTACTAACAGTCTTAGAACTCTTAAAGTTCCTGATAAAAATGCACTACTCCATGGAAATTACTCGAATTTACATCACTAAAATAAGCTGTGATTCCTACATTAATAGACTAGTAACTAATTAGGAAAAATAGAGGAGAAAACTAAATAATTATATTAAAAAAAATTTAAATGCACTACTAACAGTCTTAGAACTCTTAAAGTTAACATTAATAGACTATATTAATAGACTATTAACTAATTAGGAAAAGTAGTGAGGTACTTTTTAAATAATTATTATACCGTTTTGAGAGTGATGTGGTGCTGGAGTTCCCGAATTTCCACAAATTTTCCTGCTTCCTGTGATAGGAGAATATTTCCGGGTAAGGGATGAGTTTCTCTTGTAGATCGGATGATGAATTTTTAAATTTCGATTTAGCGTCTCCTAATTATGCAATATAAATCAGTTATACATATTTTATTTGGGTAATTGTAATTGACCTGAGCTGTAGAGGTCTCGCAAGCAATTCGGGCACAATAGAGTCGAATCCGGACCGTTTAGTAATTTCTTTCTATTGAATTTATCTTGGCATCTATTACACGTTGCTATGTTCTTGGTTTCTTCCATTATTTAGAATTTTTTGCTACAGTATTTTTCATACATGAGTTTCAGTATTGACAAGGTTTTATTTTGACGTTTTGAAACTCTTTAGATAAAAGAGAAAGAATAACTGCAAAATTTCCGCTCATCTTCTTTTCACCATTATTCTACTCATCAGCAAGTCTATAATAAGAGTAGACACTTAAAGTAAATTTATTATGCGTATAATAGGCATAAAAATCAGTAATTTTCATTAATAACTCGACCGATATAACATTTTCAACGCACTGTATACAGTGGTTAACGATGTTTATCACGTGTTAAGTCATCGCCAACATAAACATAATAATATGCAGAAATAAATCGACGGGTGTATAGAAAATATCTTAAAATAATTGACGCGAGTCTTCAATAACCTACTTTCGTCTCTGTCTATCGCGCCGAATAACCATAAGGCGCGTCTTCGCGCCAGGGGAGAGAAGAAAGCATATATAAAATCCGCAATTTCTCCTAAACTCACTCTGCTATTTGTGATTGAGTGTTGTACTGGTTTGAAAATATGGCATTTTTGAAGGTGAGTCCTATTTTTGGATTGTTTGGTCAATTTTTAATGGATTTTGGATTTTTGGAAAAAATAATTTGGTTTGGAAAATTGCTTTTCTTGGGCTCAATTTTTTTTATAATTCACTGAAGTTTGATCTTTATTATTTTCTAGTATTATCTTCAGCATATTTTATTATTTTAACATAGCAGGTATATTTTATGATTTTTTTAGAATTCCTTCTGAATTTTTTTTTCATTCAATATTTATTTTATACTATTATTATCTCCATCATCGTCATCTTACTGGTATCATGATTTTTTTTATTTAATTTTTATTAATCTTTTCATATGTAATTAATATCAAGACCAGCACCTATGTAAGTGAATATTCGTGTTAAATTTTCATATTAGCTCGTCGAACGAGCGCATTTCTACGGAAAAATTCAATTTTTTTCTCGCTCCGTGTCGTTTGTAGGCCGATCATCCGTCAATAATTCGCTCATTATCATCTACTTAGCATCATCGCATTCTTCGCTTCGGAATTCCCCGGATGATACACATTCGCGATATAACGCTAATTGCGTCGATCGAAACCTTATTCTAATTCTTATTGCGGATAGGGTAACAGAATAAATCACTTTCACATCGCATCGATAGCATCTGTCGAAGAAAGGTGAAGGTTAATAATTGCACTATACTCGATATTTTATACGAATGCGCTTTTTATACTATTTTTTGGTAATAAAGCATTGACTATTTCGCTTCGTAGGCTTCGTTGATTCCTCTAGTCCTTTTGGAGCTGGCCTTACTGGTTTCCGCCAGGATCATCTACCAGCACCAGGAAGAGGATGATCACGCAGGAAACGATGTTCAGTACTCTCAACAGTACTATGGACTAGAGGAAGCTGAGCAGGATGGACACCAAGAGGCCGGGCACATAGCTGAAGCTCATTTACCAGCTACAGATTACGGCCATCATCACCAAGAGGAACACATTGATTATTATGTAAGTGAGGTTTTTTATAGAAACTAATAGTAATTGTTAGAAATTAATCAGTACCATTGCAAAATTAATTTCTAAATGGATCAGATATCGACTCAAATTGCTCAATAAAAATAAAACAAATACCAGTAGGTATATAATAATAAGAAAACTTACTATTATTACGTAGACATTTTTATTACAGTTAGAATCTACAAATAAATTAACTATCGAATTAAACTTGCAAATAGCTGAACATAAGTTACGCTTATTAATTTAATGGCCATTCTAAAAATTTCAAGTGCCTATCACGAAAATCCACTCCAATTAGTCGGGATTGAAATTAAAGCACTCGTAATCGGTTGCAAAATTCAACGTTATTACGATCGAAGAAAGCGAATCTCGAAATGATCGCGATAATTCCCAACGAACATATGTCTATCGAGTAAAACTCGGTGAAAACTGTTACCGTTCGATCAACAATCCTACGGACAATCGGCATATGTTCCTTGTTAATTTTGAACGTCGCGGAATATTTTTATAGACTTTTACTTTTCACGCCGCGTTAAGAATAATTACTATTTATTTAAGTACCAGCACCAATGATGTCATATCTACTTGTTACTAACATAATATTATTAAAGAAATCTTGAGTGTTGAATATCTATAATACAGTCGGTGCAAAACAAATATCAATGCATGCCATTACTGTCGTCATATTTGACAAGTATTGAGTCCAACTTTTAAAAATAATTACACAAAATAGATTAAGATTAATACCTGCAGACTTTAATTTAATATTAACAAGGGATGATAGAAAATGTTAAAAAGCAGAGTACTTCACTAGCCTCAACTTTTAAAGGCTTTTCAGACGAAAATAATCAAGAAATAAGAATTTTTTGCGTTGTTATCTTTTCCACATGTTATAAATGACTCTCAATTTGAGCTCTAAATAATTAAAATTCCGAAGTTTTCCGAAGTTTGTTTTACTCTCATAAGGGTCCTACATTAAAGTGTGTACATTAAATTTTTTACTCGCACTATTAAATATACTTCAGATGATAAATGAATTTTATGATTAATTATAGTGAGTTTCACCGTAGTGAGGTTCACCGTTTAGAAACATGAAACAGAAACCCCTAATTTTCAATTTGTTTTTGTCATTTTGCCATTTGACAATTTTAGAAAATTCTTATATTTTCTAAACTCTATAAACGTCTGGCAACACCGTCTACTTGTGACGTAGTAAATTATAGGTGACGTGCGTTGATATTTGTTTTGCACCGACTATATATCCACATTAATAAGATTATGACATCACAAATTTACACCGTTGCCACATTGTGATTTTTTTCCTTGTTTTAGGCTCATCCGAAATACAGCTTCAAATACGGCGTGAACGATTACCATACTGGCGATATAAAATCGCAGCACGAGTCGCGGGATGGTGATTCGGTAAAAGGCCAATATTCTCTGGTCGAGCCCGATGGGTCCATTCGCACTGTGCATTACACGGCGGACAAACACAACGGATTCAATGCCGTGGTGCATAAATCTGGACCGAACAAGCACCTCCAGAGGACTCTGGAGCACACGGCGCACGAGGAGCACCACCTGGTGGACGAGCACGGGCTGGGGGGACACCATTTGGAGGCGGAGGAAGGTTACGAGGAAGAGCATTATTAGGTTCCCAAAAATTCTTCGATAAAAGTTGTTGTTCTGAATATTTTTTTATATTTATTTCTATAGCTGTCATTCATTTTCGTTTTAATCATTACGACTATTCATCTTCGCCAGTCATTCGTTCATTACATAATTCATCTTCATCATTATCAAGTACCTATTATACCAGTATTCTAATTGTTCTATCGTGATTTAAAGGAAATTAGTCATTTACTTAATTGTTAGGTTTTCTGCTGATGTGGTGCTTAAAAAGAGAACTGAATAAACGTAGTATGTTTAAAATTACTTCTACATTTTGATAATAATCATGCTTATGATATAGCGTTACTGTTTCCGAATGGTAAAGATTATAGTGTTTTTATTTATCTCTTAATATGCGACAGTATTAAAATTATACTTTTATTTGTTACATTAATTAAAAATAAAAGAAAATAAAACCAAATTGCTGTTGTTGTTTTTATGTAACATTTCAACCGTACGTTATAACATTTAAGGAAATTCGCTAAATTAATAAGCTTTTAGAGATAAAACGATCTGGATCTATAAATGATATGCAATTTATCCCTAATTTATATAAATAATCTTTAAAAGCTTAACGTATAACGAGCGAGATTTCAAGAAAATTGGCTCGAATCGTGAGATTAAATATCGAATGATCTACGGAGGTAAGTCGAGCATAAGCTATACTTAAAATAACAACAGTAATTTTTCATCTTATCTGGTAAATACGCGAGATTTTAAGGACTCGCTTAATTGTTTAGTTCTAGCAAAATTATCATTCAAGGTTTGCGTTGTTGTTGAAAATTTTCGTGATATAACACCAATCCCATAATGAATTAATTTTTTAACTTCCTTTACATCGCACCCTGTATGATAAATCAATTTATTATTAAATTACCCATGCTGTAATTATCTTTTCCATGCTAATATGGTACAGCTATGCTATTAGTAATGAAATGTCATCTACAACTGAGGTATATTTTTATTTATTAGCAGTTAAAATCATCGCTGAGCAAGTAATCAGTAAACATGTTTTGAATGTTCTTGCATAAATTATTCCAAACGTAACTGAAGTAATATAATTGCCTGTTTAAAAGAATTCCGGATTTGCTCAAAAAGCCTTGAATTATGCGAAAATAGTCATTAATAGTAAGCACATTTCTCAAATTTTCCTCACATAATACTCTAGATTTAATTCCATCTTTTGTTCGCAACTCATTACCTATTAACTCGATCTAAATCAAACAGTACCCGCTGATTAATTTCAATTAAAACTCGCGAATTTTCTCTGCCGATTGCCCGATAAAATCCAATGATCACAGAACTAGAAGCGGCGGTAAAAACCGTAATATTTCAGTAATGATAGCCTGCACGATCGGCGGCGGTAACGAGAAATTTTCAATCGACGGATAAAAAAATCGCGGGGACCTTGACGTGCAAGCCATTCAAGATATTATGCATCACCGAAGGAGTAGAAGAAGTTCCAATACCTACCTATAAATATCGACAGATGGGAAGCCGAGATTCCCAGTTCGTTTGCCATACTGTTTGTGCACTACTTATTGATATAAAATGGTGGTTGTTTTAGTAAGTATATTATATTGTGGTACCTACTGTTTTTGAAAAAGTGTATACATGGGTGAAATGAATGTTGATTGATTTTAAGAAAGAGAAAAATAGGGTGAGTGGAAAATATGTTGAAATGTAAAAAATAAATTGGGGAAGTTTGATAGCAAGAAAATTTGATGATTGTTAAATTTTAAAGATTAATACAGTTCCTTCCGTAAATCTTCTTTGAATTTGAAATTTAAATTATAATTTATCCCATAAAATATTCTAAAAGCACTCCATGAATTCCCAGAACTATTTTTTACATTTTAAAACTAATCTAGATAAAACTTGCGATTTAAAAACCAAGCGAAAAAAGCGCCCTACAATCTAATTGCAGCAATCATTACAACGCAAACGTGAGAATAAGGCGAATCGATTTGATATATCACGATTCTCCACTCGAGTTTCCCATAAATCTCGTTACAAACATCCTATTTGTATTTGTACACATACAAAGATTTCAAACATCGATGCATCTACAGCGAATTTATCATTCCCAAACACTACTAGAATCTACTACTCGAATTTTCCCAAATTAACACCACTGTTTCCCAGCTTCTAGCCATCCTAGCAGCGAGCACCGCTCTTTGCTCAGCCGGAGCAGGATACTACTCGCCCAGCGTGAGCTACTCAGCCCCAGCTCTCGCCTACAGAGGACACGGAATCGGTCACGAGGCCCCGATTCCAGTCGCAGTTGGAGACGGACACGACATCGATTATTACGTAAGGTTAACGCGATTAAAACCACGAATTATTACCAGTTTACCCATCTAGGCTCATCCCAAGTACTCCTACAACTACGGAGTTAAAGATGATATAACGGGCGATCAGAAGTCCCAAACGGAAGTTAGAGATGGTGGCGCTGTAAAAGGTTCTTACACTGTGGTGGAACCGGATGGTTCCGTTCGCGTGGTCGATTATACAGCTGACGATGTTAATGGGTTCAATGCGGTGGTGAAGAAAATCGGGCCTTCTATCCACGCCGCTCCTGCTGCACCTCTGGGGCATTTGAGCCATGCTCCTGCTGCGCCCATAGGGCACCTTCCTGCGCCTATATACGCCGCTCCTGCTGCACCCGTGGGGCACTTGAGCCGCGCTCCTGCTCCTGTGTATGCTGGTGCTCCTGGTCCGATTGGTGGTCATTCCGGTGGATATTCCGGTGGATATTCCGGTGGAATTGGAGGGGTATTCGCTGCGTACGGTGATGGAGGACACGGTGGAGTATACGGTGGACAAGGAGAATACGGAGGTTACGGTGGACATGGGCATTATTAACACCATAATTGTACCGTTTGTTGTTGTAGAGGAATAAATTTAGGAGATTTATGTGTGTTGTTATTATATACTTAACCTTTTATAAGCTTAATTAAATACGCTTGTTAATAATTACGTTTTACTTCTGGTCGCTTCGAATAAATAAATAACCTGGTAATGGTCGATATAAAAGCGCGACCTAGAAGACATTGGAATTAATTCGTTTGTGTTGAAGGTACTGACATAATTCTCACAACAACAAGGTGTAATACGCGCTAAAGAAATTGTTGCTTCATTTCGCCTATTATTTATGACATAATTACGTTTAAATTTTTGCAATGCGACGTTGTGACTCGTGTACTCGCAAGTTCCTCGATGAAATAAAGTTGTTAAATAGTTAATGTTGTGCGAACAAAACGTATTTGTGAGTCAATTAGCCGGTGGTTAAATCTTTTGTCTACATTTTCATAACAATATTTATTCGCAATTCTTTATAAAAGCGTATGCAAATTATGCGTTTTACATCCTGCAACGGTTTGTTATCCTTGCATTTTCGTTATATTTTTCGTTGTTATTGTTACCGATTTACTAATTATTGCTCATAACGGAACTTCGTGTTAGGCTGAATTTTATCTGACGCCTCATCTCGACGTTGCAGATAAATCATAATTATCTCACAATTATACACGCCGATGAATTAGCATCCTTCATTTGAATATATTGATTTAATCGCCTTTAATGACTAATTACGTATTAGCGTGTAATTAATTAAGAGCCATGTATTGTTGCATTTATCATATGGTGTTTAATTGAGTAGAATTTTGAAGCATATAGGTATCCATTTACTCTATTAAAATTATTTTTTGTAGATTCATTTTAAATTTGCACAGCAAAAGTCTTTGAACTCGTTTCTAAAATATTAAAAACCTTGTAATAATGAACATTGGTAGGCAATTTGTAAATTACCTGTACGCAAATGTAAAAGTTTCGCCACGTTTAATTCGTCTTGTTAGAACTAAGTTAACGAACGATTTTCAGCAATTACGAGGTGCCTATTAATTAAAATTGGTTAAAAACTAGCAAGGAAATAGAAAAATAGTTTGTTAAATCTGATTACCATTTCACACTAAACTGCCTGATTTTCTGCCAAGAATCAACCAGCGGAAAAACGCTGGGACTTTTTTCGCCCAAACAATAACAAACAGCCATTCGATGGAATAATTATTAAAATTATGCCATATTAGATTAGAATTAATTATGAGTCGATTTCATGAGATTGAAACAGAGAGCCGCATTGTGTGTGGCGTTTACGTAAGCACTATTTTTCAGAAATGGGTTGCCAATAATAAAGACGGTATTATTTCCAATTATTACACTTATTTAACGAATATATAAATCGACTTTCACCGTATTTCACGAAACAATCGGGTTTTGTTGTATTAGTGTGAGAATATAAATATTTTTCGTTCCTTGCATACTCTACGAGAATCCGTAATGATATTTTTAATAATTTTTTTACTATTCTTAATGTGTATTAGTGCATCCGTTTGTAGAGCTATAAAATGAGAAAGTAATGCATCCTTTTGGTTTTTTCATAAGAACTTTACATACAAGTTATTTCTATTATATTCAAATTGGTCACAACTTCAACCTACACATGATGTGACATTCATAAACAATCTGAAATAAATAAAAATAATTCTACATTCCCCTACTAAATTTTTATTGGTTTTTGAGGATGCCGAATTTTTGTTCACCCAATATTGCTCAAATTAACGTAGATTTATAAGAGATTTCTCATTATTTTTCCAACAAGTATTAAACCTGCCTACCCCAATCATTTTTGGGGACACTCTGTATGCATCAAATCGATTTAATCTAGTGAAGAGTAGATGTTTTAATTTGTTTTTTAATCATACCTATTACCAAAATGTATTGTTAGGAAAATTTCCGAATCGGAGTGCGTTGGAGTAGCATTGAGGAGAAGCGCCAGTGCGGGCTTGCACCACTCGTGGAGGGGAGCAATGGAATTATTAAAAATGGGAGCGATATAAAAAGAAATGTTGTGGGAAAATCTTTTTAAACCTTTAACATTACGTGCGTTTTTCTTTTCAGTTTCTTTTTTTCGTTTGTAGTGGTATATCGGTGAGGATGTTGTGCGTCAAGGTAAATAAAATTTGTGTGATTGAAGACGCCTTAATATTTGGATTGTTTTTTTGGAAAGTGTGAATTTTACTGGTACTTGAAATTTACAACTGTGTATCAAGAAATGTGATTGTGAAATTATTTCAAAAAATTTTGTCTTTATGTTATTGAAAGGTGTGGAAAGGTCTAAGTTTCCAGGATTAAAAAACCAAAAATTAAATAACAAAAATTGTAATAGAGATGATTAAAGATAAAAATTAATCTTCCTGCAACATAAAGTCACTTAAAATACCTATACAGTTGTTATTGTAAGGAATAATTTGATACAATCAAAAATCTGGTGGATAAAAGGACAAAAAATTAGCTGGGAAATAATAAGATTTCACAATTCTCAAGTTCGAAGGATGTTTCGTAAATAAACATTGTTATTCCCACGGCCAAGCTGATGGCAAATTTTATTGTTAATTAGATTACTCATATTTTTTCTTTTATCAAAATTGCTAAAATTTCCTTCAATTTATCGATAAAGATCGAATTTAACGAATTACGAAATAAAAATTAAAAATATTTCTCAAGAGTTCGATGAAAATAAATAAATATCTAAATGATAAAAGTACATATAATTAACAAAGTAACCGCAGCACAATTTCCATTATTATAATTAGAAAATAATAGTATGCAAGTAAAAAGAAAGAAGGAGAAATTTTACATAAAATTCGAAACTCATCTTGATAGCGTTATTCCATAGAAATTGAGATGAAGATCTTGATAAACGTTCAAATGAAAACGAAATCTCTTAAATTTCAACAACTGACCGTTCATACAACATGTTTATGTAAACACAACAATTCGACTGTGTTATTTATTTAAATGCCGAGAAAATGAAAGTATTTGCACATGTACGCATTAGAAAACGAAAAGCCTCTATTTATTTTCGAGTACATTACCGTTAATAAGAAATTCGAAAATTTAAAAATATTACAGCTTCAATTATCATAATTCGTTTTAATTTATGCATTTTAGGTAATATTATTGTCATTATACATAACCACTATTGAAGTTTTTGGTGGTACCATAACAGAGTACCCAGAAGAGGTATATGAGGGGTACACAGGAAAAGATGATTACCATGTAAGTGTTCCACAAAAATCTATTTTCTCTATACAGTGTGAGTCACTATTAAATTTACAAACTTTAACCCTGTGAAGGGCATTCTTTATTAAAACACAAGGTGAAGAAGTTTGCAAATTTATTACTGAGCCACTCTGTATCATTAAATTTTAGTACGACCATATACGTTACTCCCCTACTCTCCCAAAATCATTCTAAAATTTCCAGTACTTCAAACCTTCCACTCATCATCCACATTTAAATGAAGAAACAAAAGTACTCTAGGTACTACCTACATGGTATACTTTTCACAATGCCTAGGCGCATCCGAAGTAGGTATAATAAGCTTCTTTAATAAAACACAAGGTGATGAAGTTTGCAAATTTATTACTGAACCACCCTGTATTAATAAATTTTAGTACGACCTTATACGTTACTCCCTACTCTCCAAAAATCATCCCAAAATTTGTACTTATCCCCAGTACTTCAAACCTTTTACCTACTCATCCTCCACATTTAAACGAAGAAACAAAAGTAGGTACTCTAGGTACTACATGGTATACTTTTCACAATACCTAGGCGCATCCGAAGTACTCGTTCAAATACGGCGTCCACGATCCATCTACCGGCGACGTGAAGAGCCAGAAAGAGACGCGCGACGGCGACGTGGTCAAAGGCCAGTACTCCCTGGTGGAACCCGACGGTTCCATACGTACCGTCGACTACGTAGCGGATCCTATAAACGGTTTCAACGCCGTGGTGTCGAAGAGCGGCCCGTCCGTCCATCTAGCGCCCGAACCGGTAGTCATCAAGAAAGTGGTACCCGCTTTGAACCACGTGGTACCTACGTACGTCAAACAGGTGGTACCTGTAGCGAGGCCGGTTATACAGAGAGTGCTATCGCAGCCTGTGTACAAATACACGTCTCCAGTAGGTGAGTTGGGCTAGAGTTGAAGAGATGGCGGTACTGTAATGGTACCGACTGGTGCTGTATTGGTACTACATTTTTTTATAGATATTATAGTTGAAGGAAGATTGTATTAGGGAAAAACAATGAGTACTTTCTTAGTTATTACATAATTATACCCATTTAGCGGTGGGTTGTTATTGTTAATAATTTAAAGCGATTTAACTGTGATGACTAGCATTAATTAACCGAAAATTGAATCGAGATTCTAGAGATACCGAAGAGAACAATAAGGCATTTAAAATTATTGTTGTTTGTTGTATAATGAGAAGATTAGGGCAAAAATGCGCGTTCAACGTAAAGTAGCCGAACAAAGAAATTATCATAATTACAGTGAGAAAGCAGATTTTGTCATCAGTCACCAGAAGAATTTCCTGGAGAAATACCTAAAAAGTTTTATTGCTCCTATAATTCAACATCGCGTCTTTACTATCGCAGTTATTCAGCCATTAATTATGTCTTAAACATACTACAGTATACAAAATATAAACAAGGGTTAATTTTCAATCAGCCCAGCAAATTGCACCATCGCCCGATGAGAAAATTAAAACGTTATTAATAACATAAATTAAGTCGTTAAACCGCATTGACCTGAAGCAATCCGTTAAGTAATCTCACTTTACACTGATTGATAGCGAACCATTGTTCATTGCATCAAAATTGTAACCGATATACGCCTCTTGTATTATATGTAAAGCGAAATAACGAGCGGGTTTCGCGTGTATACTTGTGAAAGAAAAAACAGATGGCAAATAGAACGGACTCTCTGTCGATGGTAAAATACTCGGAGCTCCATTGTAATCTAATGTTGTTGCATGGAAATTTTATGCGGCAAAGGAAAAATAAAATTCGAAATGCTTTCCAATGACTGACACAAGCACAGTAAGCAAAGGAAAATTGCGCAATGTATACCGGGCGAGTAAAATAAGTAATTGGGGTTAAGTAATTACAGTGGGTTAATTATAGTGGATTAATTACAGTGGGTTAATTGTATTATGTTAATAATAGTGAGTTAATTACAGTGTTACCTACACAATTTTTAACATTTATTGCCAATCAAAATCTTAATTTACATACACCCGGTTAATCGGTGAGATTCCTAAGCTTGCAACAAAATTGTCTGCTTCCTACAAGTTTTTTTTTGAATAATTAACAGCCCATATAATTAATTTTCACCTAATACGATTTCGATTTTATTTGCTTTTGCTAATTAAAACGTAACTAACTAACCCGCGCCGATCGTCATCAATATTATTATAAATTCATTACTTCTTCACAGAGAGTTTCCTTGACAACTAAATTACGAGCGCGTAAAATCGAAATGCCCGGAGACTAATGAATATGCATATTCATTTAAATGCTTTAATGATACATTTTTTGATTGAAATGGCGAATGTTATGTTTACAAATTAATCCGATCGGTATGAATTTTATTTAGTACGTACTTTGCACTTTAAACGCTCGTAATTTGCATATAAAGAATAAAATAGGCGACTAATAAATAAAATTATTTGAGGGATTACATTTAATACCAAATCTTCTATAACAGGCGACCTTTTCTCACATTCCTCTGATGCTTTTGCTGTCAGTTCCTTTCAAATTTGATTTATCAAATGATTAGGCAAACGTTACTTGCATGAAATATTGGAATATTAAAAAAATATGACACGACACGACCTCTAATTTCGTAATATTCACGTGAGAAACATCCGAGAAATGTATACCTGTACTTAGAGTTGAACACTTCATTTTATCTACGATAATATAAAAAGTCTATCTGGTAACTAATTTTACTAATGTATTACGTACGCTTTCGTATCAAACACATGGTAAAATAGCACTAGATACAACTAATAGTGTCTTAGACATTATCTGGGACTCATTAATAACAGTTATGAGACCATTACCTGGAATTTAAGGTTTCTGTAAAACAAGCAAGTTGCATTAATGATTATAAAGTAAAATATTGTTATGGGTGAAAATTAAAGCGCCTTATTTGCCAGCAATAAAATTTTTCACTTTCGAACCGTTATTACGTATAAAATATGCGATATTTTGTCACAAGAGATGATGAATGTGCCATAAAATATTTCTGTTAAGTAAGAAAATGTTTGCAAAAATCAATTATGGTTGTTCGATGAATCCGCTGGGTATTGTTGGGTTTTAATTATGTTATTGTGCACACGAGGAACTCGGTTTTTTGCGTTTTTCGATCAATTATAGAAAATTTATGTGTTCTTTTAAATATCAAGGACTCACGAATTGTTTGTTCAAAAGAATGATTTATATGCTAAACTCGATTCGTAAGTCTCTTAGTAGGAAGACATGAAGGCAGTGTTAACTGGTTTTTGGCATTTTGATTTAGATTGTTGAATTTCCCAATCGAACGCCGGTGGTTAATTTCTTCGAGATAAAGTGATTTATATTTCGAAACAACGAACGGTTTACATAATTTCGCAGCGTTGAAACATAGATTGGGCGCCCATTTCAAAAATTGGTAGATTTTTTTTGTAAACTCGATTTCGTTTTCACTAAATTTATGCCCCAAAAATTGCGTTACCGAAATCACAACCGGTCATCATTGAGAGTTATTTATCGTTTTGTGGGCAGTTTCGGCCTTCACATTTCATAATTGATCGGAAAAATATATACAGGGTGATTCTCAGTAGAACCCACACAAAGTATAGGGTGAATGCTACAAGTAACGGCCTTTAACTCTTCGGAAAATCAGCAAACTCACGAGTCATTTAGAGGTAATTGAAAGTAGACCGCGTCTTCATTGTCGTTGCATAATTCGCATCGGCGGGTATCATTATCAAATTTTTACCGGGACTTATCGGTAATGGGAATCGCACTTTTACCGATTAATTACCCCTCGCCGGTAAAACTAAAGCGGTACTTAAAATATTATCGAAATTGCTAGTCGCTCGCTTTATCAATGGTGATCGCGTATTTTTATCGATTCCGCACATCTTTGTAATTCTTATTCTTTCACTTCGTCGATGAATATCGATAGTCCGCAAAATCAAACTCAATTTCGACATTTAAACGATAGTTTATAGTACGTTCGATTTAATTCGGTTATATGACGTCACGGCAGTGTTACCATTACATTTATTTATTAACGCTTTTAAAAAGCTTTTGAATGTTTCAGTCGATGTTAATAAACTATTGGATAATTAGTAGCATATTCTCGGTTTTATTAATCGTATTTCAAAGCTAAGGTTGAGGTTGAGTTTGAAAAGCGGATTCTCTGCGGTTTGACATTTAAACTCGATATTAACAGGATGTAATTTATATAATAAAAAAGAGCGAGATTAATATAAATGTACAGAACAGTGCCGGTTTAGAATTCCGCGTTTTTCTAATGAGCGAAACATTTTTTTTTGTTTAGTGAAGAAATTCACATTCTACTCGCGCATAAATCAATTGGATAATTCCCGCGCTAAGATAGCTATTAATTTTTTAACGGTACGGATCATGAATTAAATAAGAAAGTAAATTATCGTGTTAAAAGTAATAAATTTCGCCCGAACACACGCTGGAAGTGAGCGCGATATAAATGTAAATCCCGGATTGGAATCTAATGTTACAACAATTACGATTATCTCCGCACAATAACATAAATTCATTATGCAATAAAAAATTAATTTTATCAATGTTCGAGCTTACCGTTTGGATTCGAACGCGTTGAAATGTGTTACACACGTTTTTTTTTTAATGATTAAATTCGTAATTTGGGCGTTAACCGGTGATATGAATGATTAAGATTGCCTATTGATGGAAATTTTTTGATCGATAAAAAAAATCGGTTTATCGAACTCTTATGAAATTAATGCTCGAGTATATGTGTTCAAAAAAAATCGATGCTATGTTAATTAATAAATTCGTGTCAGTTGAACACTATAAAGTTGCATTGATGTGTGCTAAATTTTGTGAATTCGAGTGGTGTAAAAAATATACATACATATGTATACAGGGTGTTTCTGAAATAAGTGGTCAAACTTTGGTAGCTAGTAGAGAACCTTTAAATATGACAAAAACTTAAATGTCATTTTATCGAAATGTCCTTGGTTATCGGTATACAGGAAGTTAAAGATGGATTCATGAAAGATGTATGTTTATTAATAATTTCATTAATAGCAAAGGTAAAATGATGAAATTTGGTACACATACTAAACAAATAAAATGTTTTACGGCACTATTTAATCGGGTTAAAAAAGTTGTCCAGGGGTGGGTTAAAATGGGGGGTTCGTGGGGTAGGTAATTCTAACCTACCTCTTTTATTTTAAACTTTTCTATTGATTTGTTTAAATAATATGATAAAATTAAGTTTTCTACACAAAAAAAGGTATACTTGTTAATTTTCCGTAAAGTGAACCCTTTTAACGAAAATTGTTTAAAAATTCTGGTACACAAAATTATTAAACTATTGTCATCTTTAAACTCTAGGAATGAATTCTTTCAAAAACTTAACATTTCGATAAAATGACATTTAAGACATTTAAGTTTTTGTCATATTTGGAGGTTCTCTACTTGCTCCCAAACTTGCTCCCTTTGACCACTTATTTCAGAAACACCCTGTATAATAATAATTATCGGGTGTGTGCGAAAAGTGAAAAGTAGGGCAAAAATTGATAAAACAACATTCGCTCTTTCTAATTAATTTCATTATATCGAATTATAACTAGCCTTCTGTTTGAAGTGTATTAAATTTGAACCATATATTAGGTTTATATTTAAATCGTCTATAGAAATTATAGAATACACATCAACCTTCATTTTACCGAATCTCGCCGAAACAACCATATAAAATCGATTCCGATTAAATTTCACGGGATCAATTTTTCGTATTTTTTTTTTTAGGTGTAAACGACATAGTCTACGACGGAGGTTATGGATATGCAGATGGATACGACCTAGATGCCTATTTCGCCAACCTTCACGGACACGAATATTAAAAACCGCCTGTTCCGTTGCATTAAAACACAAGCCAAAAATTAATTATTAGTTGATAAACGCTATAGCCATTAAATTACGTAGACATTATGAAGTTAAACGATCTGTAATTGCGCTGTCCAAAAAAATTCATTTGCATCATAATTAAATTAAGTTCTCGAATGAGTAATTGCCAGCAGCAATCGTCGCTTTTGTGTATATTCTAAATGTTTTATTAATAAAAACAGGTACTTACTTGTTGCATTTCTACTCCCATATACCACTCTATAATAAATATTTTTTGCATACAAGAACATAGTAACCCTGAAGAGTGCATTTCAAGTTCCTAAATAAGCGCATGAAGCGAGACAAACGGAATTTCGAAACATTATCAGATGCTCCATGTAGGTCGTTATTATACAACTGTCTGCAGATATAATGAAAGGCATTTCGAAAAAAAAAATCACCGGTAGCGATTTTCCATTTTAGTTGCACAGCGTGAAGGATGGCGCAGATGTCAGAAACGCCCGTCCGTAATTGGTAAAGAGCGTTTACTTTCATGCGAGCATTATACTTGCAGATGGAAAAATGATTTTTCTTTCATGTATAGCTACGTGAGATCTGGGAATGATTATTAATTAGGGATTAGTCGAATATTCTGCTTGTTTCATTCTTGTACAATTTAATTGAATTAGCGTTTTGAAACCGGCACATTTTTTTGTCCATTCGAAACGCTGTCGTAACGCTCGCCTAGATTCAATTAGGAAACTTACATGAGGATGCCGGGTTGTTCTAATATTGCCAGATACTGCCGAAAACTACAATAGATTCGCAGATACATACCTAAATATGACCGTTTCGCAATTGTATATGTATCTCGAAGTTACATAAACTAAATAAAAGTACAATTTTTGTGGCTATTAAAGGATATTTGATTTTTATCAGCCACCTATATGTTCATAAAAAGTACGTTAAATTAGATCGTTATCGTAAATTGTTTACTAACAATGCCTTCATAAAAATATCTTGGAAATTCATCTCACAAGTTTTCATACAGTGTGTCCAAAAAAATCAATCAAAATATCCGATTTTTGCAAGAAATCCACCTTCAATTATCGTAAAAGTGAGCAGGTAAGTATCATCAACTTTCATGGCTTTAAGAATTGCATTATCTTCGAAATCAATAGAAACTTTCTATAATTATTGTCAATGAAATTATTTCCTATTAATAAATCCGCCGTCGAGTTATCAATCGGATCGATAATGCAGGAACAATGCTCGAAGTAAGCACAATATATTAGAAAGCTACCGAACAATTCGCGTAAATGCAACTTTGGCCGGTATCAGATTAATATACAGGATGTTAAAATTTTTAATTGTGATATAAAATTGGAAAGTTTATCATGGGATGCGCATGCATTATTTATCGGATATTTAGCGACGTAACTCCGGTGTAGGTATATATCGATATAGGCGACACCCGGAGTATTAAAGCTTAATTTCGAATGTAAATATTCAGCTGAAAATTGCGCATTGAATGCAAATTCGGCTGCAACCGTCTGTCAGCGACGTGATATATACCCACTTAGTTTTCATTCTTCCGCCCGAGAAAAAATTGACCTTTTTTGCATAACTGAATATTCACGTTCTCGCGAACAATTCGGCGATTTCGAAACGCGAATTCGATATGCTGATATTGCTTGAAAACGACGCCTTCGAAATTAAATTCTTCACGCAGGGACACTTATGCACGAGGTAATTAAATTTAAAAATAACAGCGTTGCGAGATGTATACAAATTTCCACTTTCTGTGGAAATTTTTACTACCTCCTGATGATAGTGAACGGAGTACACAACTAGCACTATTTCAGATCCAATCGAACGAAACATTTTCCGGTAATAAAAGCATAGGTACTTAAAACCGACTAAAGAAAGAGTTACTTTTAAGGCGCGACTCCATAAAACCTCCGCTGTTGGCAAAATCGACGAAATTAATAAACCGCGGTTATGAGCGATAATATTTCACTAAGATTGTATACAGTAAATCGCCCGTACGCAACCGCCTTTTACGACCTATCCGTCGTTCATCTAAGGAAAAGACAATCCTCTCAGTTCATAAATCTAATTCGTACATCTCGTACACAGTACGTTAACTTCTGCAAAATGAATTATAACGCTCGTAGAAAGTTCCAGATGAATCTGTCTGGCGAAAATGTTACTGCATTCGGTAGAAAACTCATTTAGATCATATTTTGTTGATTTAATGGGAGCATTTCGTATTTTTTAACGAGAATTTGCGCTTAGGTGGATGGCAATAATGATTTCTTAGCAAGAAATGTTTCCTGTTTTTGGTTTATATCAAAGCGAGTTTGATATTTGTATTGCATCGACTGTACCTAATATGAGATTGATCAATCCTTGGCAGTTTAGCGTCCTTGACTTTCACCTATTGTTTTATGTAACAACAAATAATATCAAGGAAATTTTTTGGTAATGCTTTGGAAAAACAGAGTTTCTTCGAAACGGTTTGCACAAATAAATCAAACGAGCGGATGTGCCTGTCAGCTGTGTGCTCATCCTCGAAAATCTCGATTTCGAAACAAAAGTAACGATTTTTTGAGCTCGTTAGAAGGTCGAAGGCGATTTAGCATGATATTCAGTTAATGGTCGTTCGTGAGAGAATAGGTAATTATCGACACTTTTTTTATAATATAAAAGACAGAAGATCCTATTATTCAAATCTATTGATTCGAAATGTGCAATTATAGTTGATGAATGGACTAGAATTGCGTCAGAGCGTTGTTTTAATAAGCCTGTTAATAAAATAATTTACGGGTGAAAACATACAGTGGGTACCAAAAAAACGCATAACATACTGTTTAATAGGTACCTAATAAATTATCGAACGTATATCGAGAAGAGAAATGCATTCACATTCAGATAATTTGTATGTTTATTGGTTTTTATTTCCTGATAATTAGCATCATAAAAATCGTCATTTTATTGCTGGTTTAATTTTCGAAAGTTTACTATCAAAAATTGCTAAAACTATAAACTAATTAATGAGTAATTTCCCACCTTCTCAGATAAAATTATATCAATACAATTTACCTCGTTGCGTTCACATTCTAATAGAAAATCACCGACAAAAGAAGCGTTTTGTAACGAACCTTCCATCAAAAGAGCATGTATCACCTAATCATTCAACCTCAAAACGCCGCATATACGCTTTATTGTGACATCTTTACTTTTACTTTTTCAATATTTGCCTAAGTGATGAACAAACGCGCTTATCCCGTCGAAGAAAAATCTATTTAAATGCCATTCCACCTATTCCATTAAACGACATACCGATCTATTGGTTAATATTACATGTCGCTGTAATAATAATTAAATTTTTTTGGTGTTCGGTCCGAACAAATCGCTTGTTATTCCCGGCTAATAAATAATAAATAATTGAATAATTGCCGGTTATTGTCTAGATTTATTGGAATGTAATGCTGAGTAATTATAGATGAGAAAAACAATTTATATGTACCCTTTGTTTGTTTGATAAACAATCAATTCAATTAAAAGTTAAATATATTATTTCATGTACGACTTTTGAGCCAATTTCTTAATAGAAGATTCAACTTTCCTAACTCTTATATCACGCTTTTCATTATTTAGAAGTTTTTTTGACTGATCCTTTTCGGCCTGTTGCATGCGAACGGATATCTCCGATAGATAATCGCTCGGATTCGTGAGCACTATTTAGAATTATGAATAGATGTTGCAAGTCACTCGATTTTCCAATTCGAGATAACGCTTCGCGGGGAAAAAGTGTGGTGACAGCATTATGTGTATTCAGCCGGAGATTAATATCGGCCGGAGAGTTGCGTAATGTTTATTATATCAGGGATTAATGTTGGAGATGAGGACGATATTGTGGTAAAAGTTCGATACCTAATTAGCCAGACAATGAATAATTTGAATAACTCGTTTAAGTAAATGTTTAAATTATGGATGTAGGTAAGGAAATTGTATGATTTGTGTGGCCGTGGGTACTTTTACGCAATCGTATGTGTATACTTAGTTTGTTTGATTAACATTCGGAAATGCTGTTGTTTTGGAGGATAATGTAATAAAGGATTGTTTTTATTACCCATCTTGCTTCGAAATTATGCGGTGTATAAATGCGTACCTATTGCAGTTAATATGCATGCAATGCTAGCCTAAAGAAAAAGTCAACATTAATATACACGTTGTACTGATTGCTCAAAGTGGCATTTATTGATCAATTGAAGCTAGATCGGTATAATACTAGATCATTAAAGTAGTAATAAATATCAATTTTTTTTCGAAAATAAGATTATGTATACGTAGGATTGGCTTTATTATCGCCTGTCGCGAACGTTTTTAATTGAATTTTCTGCCGTACTTTTTCCTTCTATTTACTCATTTTCCTCTATTACCCATTACTTATCCTTGGTTATTTTTTCCATCGGCGGAACATTAACACACGTGGAATATTGACCAATTTGCCGGTTTCTTGAGCCGTCACCGCGCGCTTGCGATATTAACAAAACGAAAAGAATTTTTTTCGAAAAAAAAACCTGTGGCGTGCCTCGGGATCGTAAATCACACGCCTTTTTCTCGCCTGCTCGGGCTCGTCTTCGCTTTCTTCCGCGCCGGTGATGTAATTTTTTGCACTTGCAAAATCGCATCTCCGTTTTCGATTCATCAATTAACCATCAGCAATTTTACCTGCTGTAATTCAATCGGTGTCAAATGCTCATCAAGCTGGTATTTATTTATTAATGTTATTAATCAATTTGTTTGATTAATTAACAATTGCACTTACCAGCTCTTACCAACTGTATGTAGCATCAGGCCAAAATTATCCCTATTATATCCATTTAGTATTTTCATCGGAGATTCTATTTAACATCTGCAATTGCTACTTGAACAGTGTAATCGCCGCACCTATTTTCGTCCAAAAGCGTGACATTGAACATCGATCAAACGAAATAACCAATTGTATGTACGATTTAGATTGAAAAATGCGACAGAGCAATTTTATTGTGAATTACATAAGGACAATTATAAGCCTAGTGTCCTCGATTTATATACCAACAATGTACATCCACATTCCTCTGCCTATAATAGAAAAGAACCTACTCATCTACTATACGCATGTTATGTATGTATGTAAAACAAGGAGCAAGGATAATGATAGCTTGAGGTTAGATGAT